CCAGACCAATCTCTGGAACCTGTGAGTCTGTTAGGATACACAGCAAGGGGGAATTAAGCTTACTAATCTGCTGCTTTTAACATAAGATTATCTCCCTCTCCCCCTGCTTGTGTTCCCTCTTGCTGTCTCTCTGTCAAATAAATAAATAAAATCTTAAAAAATAAGGAGATTAGCCTGGATGACTAGGGTGGGCCCCATGCAACCACAAGGGTCATTACATGGAGAAGAGGAAGGCCAAGAAGTCAGAACCAGAGAGATGCCAAGTGAGAAAGAGTCTAGGGGCCATTGCTCACTTTGAAGATGGAAGGAGATGGGGGCCCGAGGAACGCGGGCATCGTCTGCAAGGTGGAAAAGGCAAGGCAACGATTCTCCCTGAGAAGATACGGGAAGGAATGCAACCCTGCCGGCATCTTGGTTCTGGCCCTGTGAGACCTGATTCAGACTTTTGACCTCCAAAACTGTAGGGCAATAAATGTGGGTTGTTTTCAAGTCACTGAATTTGTGGTATTTATTATAGCGCCAATCTGCAATGAAGACCACATGAGACCTATAAGAAGACTACTGTAATTGTTTGGATGACCTTTGGGAGTGGCTTGAGAAATATTTGTTTACCTTCCCTACTAGGTGTTGAGATCTGTGCGAGGCCCTCTGTCATGCTGGTCATCAGGCCACTTGTTACTTCTGTACAGGCAGGATTTGGCCTCTCCCGAGTGCACTCTGCAGTACACCCAGTCCTCATACGTGGGATTCCGTGTCACCCGGAGGAATCGACACTCGGTGGCAGTGCCAGGAGCAGACAGCTTCAGAAAATTAAAATGGCAGAACACCTCCCATGAGCCAGCATGTGGTGGTGAACCGGGTGCTGAGACCGGAAGAGGGATGAAAATTGGGACCATCCCAGGTTTGACCTGGCTGCCCAGCTGAGGTTTGGCTGCCCAACCAGGTACACAGATGAAATGCAGATGCTTGACCCAGGAGAATACACAGAGGCAACTCTGTACTTCCATCTTCTGACCCCTGATAAGAAAATCTCCACTGGAACAAATAACACATCTGTATTGGGAAGAGAATTTTTCTTTCCGTGGCTTCTCCAGGAATGATGGGTGATGCCTGGGTGGTCTTTATGCCTCTTTCTGCCTGTGTCAAAACCAGAATTCAAAGTGTGTTGGTTTAGGGACCTGTTTTTATAGGGTAACTCTCCAGGCTCAAATATCCAACATCCACAAGTGTTTTTTATGGATTGGTAGTAGCCAATGAATGTGGATGCTGTCTTAGAATAATTTTTTTTTTTTTTTTGTAATCAGTGGCCCAAAACTGTCTCTTATATTTAGAAGCCTGGATCTAGGATTACATATCAAGATACATGCATAATGCTGTTTTGCTGAATGCAGCTGTCCTAGCATAGGCCAAAGATAATTTGCTGATCCAGGAGCTGAGGCCAGCGAATTTATGTCTGCATCTGCTTCTGCCCGTAACTCTTGGGTAAAGATAGGGCAGCTTCAAGGACTGTACCCGTATCCGCCTTAGCAATGCACAGAATGGTGGTACAGGGACATTTTCTCCCTGAGGCTACCTCCCCCCGCTCCCTACCCACCCCCCTACCCACCCCCCACCCCCCCACCCCCGGCCTTGGATGTAGCCAGTGGCACCTCCTGCAAAGACTGCAGAACACCGTTCGTGCCTGTCTTAGCATCCTCACGTTTTCTCCTCATTGTTGACTATGTGTCTGCTCCTCACTGCAGACTCTTCCCAGGGTGTCTCTTGATCATATTGGAATCTGCAGAGCCTAGCCCATGGTCGAACAGGTGCTCTGTAAATAACGATCGAATGAGGGAGTGGATGAGAGTGACAACAGACTGGGGAGATGGTTTGAAACGCTTTTATATTACTTTTTTTTTTTTTTTTAAAGATTTTATTTATTTATTTGACCAAAAGAGACAGAGCTAGAGAGGGAACACAAGCAGGGGGAGCAGGAGAGGGAGAAGCAGGTTCCCCACCGAGTAGGGAGCCCAATGCGGGGCTGATCCCAGGACCCCAGGATCATGACCTGAGCCGAAGGCAGACGCTTAACTAACTGAGCCACCCAGGCGCCCCGCTTTACTTTTGCCCTTGCTTGTGGCAGGCATAGTAAGGAGCGGCATGCCTAATGCAGACAGTGTTTCTTCTGTTTAGCTTCTGTCTCTCCTTCTGGTAAAAGCACTTTGGTTTTCCTTTGGGAAACCATTCTTCCCACTCCCTCAGTCCATAAAGTTTGGGCGGAGCTGACCTCACCCTCAGTTCCACTGGCTGAATTGTGAGCCGGGCCTGGGCCTGGCCAATGAGAGTGCCACACACCCCTGGCCACGGATTCAATTTGTGTTGGAAGGGTGGCCATACCTGTTCGTTAATGGCTGGTATCCATACTGATGGACTGGTTCTCGTTCTGAGTCAATTTTGCATTATTTCAAATCAAAGCTGCCCCCCCACCTCCGTAGCTATTAGGGGAAAAACACTTCATTTCTGCCGCATCGCTAAGCTGATGGGAGAAGCCAGAAGCTGGTGGCAGCCATCACGGCCATCACGAAACCAAAATGAACTCAGCAAGTTGAAGCTGAGAAATAATAGGGAGAAGAAGTTCTTAATGCTGAGCACTGAGATCCAGCCGTGCCTGAAGCTATTTCTCAAAATTTCAGTTAGAGGAACTGGTAAACTCTACTTTTTGTTCTAGCTTTTTTTTTTTGGTCACTGGCTGCTAAAAGTGTCCTCTGGCTGATGTCCTTGGTCAGTCTTTTTTCTGTTTTTTGGAGTGGAGCAAGGATGATCTCAGCCTTGCAGGAAGCCCTGGAGAAGACTATCACCCCACTTTATCAATATGAAAGCTCTCTGCTGGGTCCTGAGGGCCCAGCAAAAATCAGGCCCCCCTCTGGGTCCCAGGGATCTCGTTTAGTGATTTCAGTGAGAGGAACATTTTCAGTGCCTCCTGGGAGGGTATGTCTGAGTCGACACCTCCTTAGCCCTACCACCAGCTTCTCTGTGTTCCTCCCTACAGGCTTAGGCTGGGATCCAGGAGCCCATTGTGGTTATGGGAGTCTCCAGAAGGTTGGAAATGTCAAGAAAACGCAACTTACAGACCATAGTAAACAGGGTTACTTAAAACCATTTTTATTCTGCCTCTCAGCAACACTTCTCATTTGATTTGGGTAAAAGATCAGGGACCCTAACACAAACAAACAAGAAACAAAATGTCTGAAACAGAAACCAGGACCCAGTACACTGAAATGATGCTAGGATCCCTGCGTGCCGAGAATTCATGGCCCTGATTCCGTTTCCTCCTGGGACAAGTGCTGGCTCGTGGCAGACGTCCAGGCGAAAGGGCCCGTGGCATCTAATGTCCACCAACATTTATTGTTTTGCTAGTTTCCAGGATTTTAACAAACAGCCTGAGATTCATAGTAATCTAAGAACAATGCTTTGTATTTGTGTAGCACTTAGAATCTCCCTCCAGGGGCATTCCCATCTATTATGGCAATTAATTCTCGGAATAACGCTCTGAGGTATGTAGGCAGGTGTTCTTAGGTCCATTTTCCAGATGAAGAAATTTGAAGCACAGAGAGGCTAAGAAACTTGCCTAAAATCAGCTTGCATAGCGAGCTAGTGGCACAAACGGCACTGGGACGCAGGTGTTTTCTCGGCCTCCTGTTTATTCACTTAGAATAAGCTGCCCTTTCTCTTGCTTAGGAAAGTTCATTTTTACTGTGTTTCTCATATGAGTTCTTGAAGTTATTTTTGCCATATATACATATCACCTGTTTTGTTAACCCCTTGATATTTTCTTTGAGTCCACTTATTTTTCTTAAGTAAATTTATTTGAATAGAAACAATAGATCACATTCCTATGGGGAAACTGTAAATGGAAGGTAATTAATAAATACAACGAAAACAGGACTATGCTATTGAGTTCTATCTCGACTTTGAACCTGAGGCCTGCTCTTTCTTTATGAAGAAGCTAAAGTCACGGGAAGATGTTGAGGACCCATGCTCGCTAAACAGAGGCTTTCTCTTTGCTGTAATCAGCATTGGACAAGACTAGAAAAGGGGAAATGTACTTTGTGATTGGCATCACTTAATGTTGTCTATAACTGACTTAAAAATTATCTTGAGTACCACCAGCGGTACGCTGCGCATTCTGTGAAACACTGCGTTGGCGTGTTCTGGTAGGCAGAATAAGGGCATCATTAAATCAGTACAATCACACCTAAAGGGGTTACATTTGACAGAAAAGAAATACAGTGGGTGGCATTGCCAGGTTGGCATCCAGGAAAATCAAAGATGGTGCCTGAGACTTGCTAAAAAAAAAAAAGAGTTTGAAAAAAAGCACATTCCGTAAAACACAGCCAGTTTATTCCCAAAACTGGGATGGAGAAGGTGCTCCTGTACCTAGAATTGACCATTAAGTACATTCTCAGAGTCTTTAAGTGAAGTGAGGTGCCCAGCGGTGGATACAAGCAAGGGAGGGGACCGTTGGAAGATTGAGGTCAGGACAAAAGGCCAGAAAGCCCCTTCCTTGGTTTCTTTGGGGACTGATTGAACTCTGGGAGTTGTGGCGGGGAGCAGCTGATGGAGGAGGGCCCACTACCTCCGACATGTAAAAATGAAAAAAAAATGCACAAATCCCACTCTGTCGGACAACTTGAAACATGCTGCAAATGTTCGTGCTCGACTTTGCAGACGCCAGCCTCCATTGCTCTTCCTAGGACCTCTGGCTCCCCACCAGATCTGGATCCCCCTCTCCCGCCATTAGAAATACTGAGATTTCCTGAGGCTCATCTCTGCAGAAGAGGAATGGACACAGAGGCTTTCACTAAACTCAGACAGTGAGACTTGAGGTTTTCTTTTTCTTTTTCTTTTCTTTTCTTTCTTTCTTTCTTTTTTTAAATCAGTGACTGGCTGGTCTTGTGCTGCTTTGGTTTTTCTTAATTTTGGGCTTTTTTCCATTTCTTTCTTTTTCTTTCTTTCTTTTCTTTTTTTTTTTTTTTAAGTTCATTTGCCAGGGACCTGCCTCTGGAGAGTCCTGGAGGAAGAGATCTCACGGTCTGAAGTCAAGGGTCCATTCCTCAGAAACTCCTGTGGGGTGTATGTGGATGAGGTCCATCCTCCGTGCTTGCGGCAGACTGCTGGTTGCTCAGGCACTGTGTAGGACAAACAGACAGTGAAAAAGAGAGAGCCGGCCCGAGCCTTCTTGGCCCAAGGGCTTCCGTTCTCTGTAGGAGATGTCCAGCACTGACCTTGGACCAGTGCATCTGCATACTTTTGAGTCTAAGCACTGGTTTCCTTTTGAGAAACGTTGTATCTGAAAACATACTTGCTTTTACACTCGGTGCATGCAAAAAAAACCATAAAAACCCATAATGATACAGATGCAAGGAAATGCTTTCTGAGCATTTCTGAACTTCATTCTCCTCCTCAAGGGCTAGTAGCACCGTTAGGATTTGGTGTGCGTCCTCTAAGTGTGCACTCAGAAATTCATCTTGTGTGTGTTTATATAAATGGGATAATGCTATACCCATATATGGTATGTATCATATATGTAAGATATATATGACATATGTATATTAACTCATTAGTTTACTCAATAAATATTTACATGCCAGTCAGTGCTCTAGTTGCTGGTGATGACAAGTGTCCCACAGTTACATGGTGAGTACCATGTGCCAGGCGCTGTGTTTTACACAGTTTAATCTTCGCAGTCCTGTGGGCTAGGTACTGTTTTATCCCTATTTTACCGACGAGAAAACTAAGGCACCGACTGGTTAAAAGACGTGCCCAAGAGCACACAGCTACTTGGACGTAGAACCTGCATTTAAACCCCAACAGTTTAGCTTCAAAGTGAGCACCCCGAAGCGTTATGCTCCATCACTATGGACAATGACAGAAATGAAAGTGTTTTTGGTTTTCATCCCAGTAGGAGGAGATAGACCATAAAGGTATATATGATTGTATGTGTATTAATACATAAAACGTATAATTATGTATCAATATATTATATGGTACGTATAATTATATATTTGGTTTCTCAGGGAGTGGTAAGTACAGAAGGAAAGTAAAGTTGGGATAAGGGTACCAAGGGAAGGAGGGCGGGGCTGTGGGTGCTATTTTATTTTTTTATTTATTTTATTTTATTTTTTATTTTTTTTAATAATGTGGGTGCTATTTTAGAGAAGTTGGTCAGGGGTAGCCTCTCCGCTAACCTATGAGCAAGCATCTCAAGGAGAGATGGGGAACAAGCCACGTGGATATTAGAAGGAAGAAAATTCTAGGTAGAGGGACGGGCAAGTGCAAAGGCCCTGTGGCAGGTCTTTGTGTTGCTCAAAGAAGAGAGAGAATTCAGTGTAGCTGAAGTGGAGGAGTGAGGGTGCTGGGAGATTAAGACAAAGGGGCAGCAACCAGATCATGTGGGGCCTTATAAAGCCGTAGTATGGGAGATTATCCATGTTTAAGGTGCAGTGTGGTACTCCATCCTGTGAATAAACCACTGTGTATTTAATCATTTTCCCACCGATGGGCATTTAGGTCGTTTCATGGTTTCCCCTATTTCAAACAGAGCTGCAGTGAACATCACTGCATATCCTTGGTTCTCTACCCTTGCTACATTAGAATCCTCTGGAGAGCCCTAAAACCTACCAATGCCTGGCCCTATCACTGGAGATTCTAATTTAACTGATCCAGGGTGGGCCCTGGGCATTGTTGTTTCTTTGTTTTTTTTTTTTAAAGCTCCCTAGGTGATTCTAATGTGTAGCTAGGGAAAAGAGCCGCTGTTCTATATCCTTTTTGTGCACCTGTATCTAGGGAGGATACCCAGAAGTATAATTGCTGTGTGGGTGGCGAATGGATTTTAAAGTTTAATAGATGTATCCAACTTGACCTCCAAAAGACTGTCCCAATTTACTCTTCCACCAACAGTGTTGTATCTAATTCTTTGCACTCTCACCAACCTTGATATTATCCATCTTTTTAATTGTTTCAGTCTGGCAGACAAAAAAAAAAGTCTATCATTGTTGCTTTAATTTGTGTTGCTCTGGTTACTGGTAAGTAACATCTGTTTCATGTTTTTTTTTTATTTCTCTGTCAAAGTCCACCAGTTTATATCATTTTCAAAGCCAGAATCTTTCCATTGTTAATGATGACTTAGATGTGACTTCTGGAAGTAGGTAATGTTCCCCATTTTTCATCATGGAATCACAAGAATTCTCTGAAGACACGTCTATGCAGAACAATCCCCATTAAGTTGTAGTCCAACCAATCATGTAGGAAAGAAGATGGATTTGCTTTCACGTTTTTGCAAAAAGTCCACCTTCTTGCTTCTTGCCCACCTTGATACATATGCTTACTTCCAATCCTAATGCAATTGAAGGATATTTTGAGGCCAGCAAAGGACTCATGCCAGTTTGTTTGTAAGACATAAGCTTTACCAGTGCATAATGGGTTAATAATATCTGCTAACTTTGTGTCTGCTAACGGGAGACTGTCATGGGATGCTTAATCCAGTTAGGAGGTTACGTTCTTCCTTAATGGGAACTTTGGAGCATGAATCATGGTTTTTATTGCTAAGAATGACAGACAAGCATTTTTTATACATGGTAGGGGTGTGCCTGACTATTTAGGTGCCTACAAGGCCATCCAGAGATGTAAGTTCAGTGGAGTTGCATTGTACGTGCATTTAACTTATGGTGAATGAACCATTCATGTTTCTCAAAAAGAAAAAAAAAAGCAGTTGTTTAAATGGAGCTGGAGATTCTGGCCATCATCATGCTCAATGCTCATGAGCATGGATGGGTATATGACTCCTATTCCTTCCGTGTGAGCTTGGAGCTTGGTTCCAGTGTTGAACATATGCCATGATCCCTAAACAGCCAACTATTTCAGCCAGTGCTCAACCCAAGGAACATCATCTCTTCCAACACTGGTGGGAACACTGGCTCTGTTGGGCTGACCAGTTACAGGGTGTGAATCTCTAATAGGGCATCCCCCTATGGATGCTTCCAAGATGAATTTTGATTATCCTCAAAGTTCACACGATGCCCTGACATTAGAATCTCACCCCCGAGTAAGATGAAAGTACCCTGAATGTCATGTGTCGTATTTGTGGTTGACAATACTCATCTGCCTTACATCCAGGCTTTGTCATGGTCAACTATTTTTGCTGCTAAGGAAGTCCCACTGAATTCTACAAGGCATCAGATGTGTGACCGTGAACTTGATCATGAGGAGAGAGGGAAGAACAAACCTGGGAGTTGTGTAAAGTCTCTAGGGAGTAGGGAGGAAGCAGCAGTAGCTGAAGCTTCTACCAGGCATCTTAGGGATGTAAAAAAGTCCTGTTTTGTGGCATATGTTCACACAGGCAAGAAGGTTCTCTGTTAAATGCAAAGCCCTACAACAGTGGTTCTCCAACTTCAGAATACCTAGAAATATTTTGGGGAGCGGGGAGTTGCTTGTGATAATGCATATTTCAGGGCCACTCAGGGTCTTGATTGGAGGCCAGGAATCTGCATTTTCACAAACATCCCAGCTGAATCTGTCATAGGTGGCTCTGAAACTTTGAGAATAACCTCACTTTGCTCGAATCCTCAAGGCACCAGCAGAAAGTAAAAGCCTGTAGACAGGTTGATTTAGGCTGGGGACGTGAATGATTCGATCAATAAAGAGACTGCAGCAATATTTAAACGTTTGGGCTCTGTGCGATTCATTTTTCCACTTTCCCTAGGAGCTGGAGAGCCGGGAATTTTCTGGCTTGGAGAGCCTGCAAGTCTCTGATTCCGTTGGCACCAGAATATTTCTCTTCTGAGAGCACCGCCTTCTATTCCAAGTTGTTGAATGTTTTAGGGTCAGTGATTCCCAGTCTTTGTGGATTTGATGTCACAAAACTCTTTGCTCCAACCGCCACATGGCTTGCAGAGATATCCTGTGAAATTAGGATGAATGAGACCTTTTTCTGAGTTTGGATAAAGACTCTGATGACCCCAGTCTGTCCGCCTGGAATTTCCATCATCTGGGGGAGAAGAGATGGGTTACAGTGCTCTTGATAAGGATACAGAGTAATTTTTTTCTTTTTCTTTTTTTTTTTTTTTAAAGATTTTATTTATTTGACAGGGAGAGACACAGCGAGAGAGGGAACACAAGCAGGGGCAATGGGAGAGGGAGAAGCAGGCTTCCCACAGAGCTGGGATCATGACCTGAGCCGAAGGCATACGCTTAAGGACTGAGCCACCCAGGCGCCCCACAGAGTTATTTTTTTAAAAGGCCGGGACTTTGGGATTAGTTACAGTGTTGCTGATAAGGATAAAGAATACATTTTTTTTTAAAGGCAGGACCTCATAGTTTTAAAAAGGCAGTCATTTACTTCAAACAGTTTTTTGAATGAAATTCAGAAAAGTCACCTATTCAAGGCTTTTTGTCTCCTGTCCAGAATGGACTCCTCTAACGTTAGGCTTCTCCAGGCCCTCTCAGTAGAAACCCTGACTGCTTTGAGGTTTGTTGCAAAAGAGCCTCTCCGTGGGTGGGTAGGTCCGGCTCCTTGGTGGTAACTTGACTCCCCTCCTTGGCAACAAGTGAGACATAACACATTCCTGGTGATGAGTTTGCTGATGGAAATGAAGACTGGCCACTCTTGTTAAAGGCTAGTTTCTGTTAGTGCATTCTTCCTTTTGGGTTCGGGAGGGAGGATGTTGGGCAAAGAGTATTGTGGGGACCACCTGCATCCAAACCCCAGGGTGGGAACGGGGAGCTGGAAAATGCGGATTCTTGGGTCTCCCTTCTGATTTAATGACTTAGAATGCTTTGAGATGAGGCCCCGATGTCACCTTCTTTTAAACCTCCCCAGGCAACTCGCATGCAGCTCAAAGTTAGGGAACCTCTCTGCCTTAGTAATTCTGCATTGCTGCTCAATTCCTCCCAGGGCTGAGAAATTTTATTTCAAAGGATTACTGAGAAATTGGCCTGTTATTGGTCTTAAGATAGAATTGATTTCATTCTCTAAGGGCTAGTTTCTTACTCTCTCTTACACACACACACACACACACACAAAACAAAGCCTTTAAGTTTCTCCATAGGATTCTAACTCTGGAAAATATTTTTTGTTTTCTTTGATAACATAGAGGGAAATGTATCTAAAAGGAACCTGACCATACAGGTGGGGAAGTAATTCTAGCCTCACTTTACAGATAGGGAAACTGGCTGAAAGAGTTTAGTAACTTGCCAGGGTGGTCTGCGTGGTGGAACTAGGATTTGAATTCTGGTGAAGCCAGAGTTGAAGTTTAGGCTCTAACCACCGTGAATCACTGCTTCTTAGGAAGAAGGGTTGGAGGGGATGACTCCCTCTCGGATCATTTATAACTGCTAACAAAACATTAATCCCAAGCATATCCACATTGATGCTTTGTCTCCAGGTAGAAACATTGATAGTAAGAATGGAGAAAGTCCCCACATAGGAAGACTTCTGGGTTCCTTGTAAAACTTCTTGGATGGTGTCTAATGGGCAAACTGATCTCCGAAAGCCAAATTGCCCACCAGAGACTGCAAAGTACATAGTGTCCAGTCTGGAGATGCGGTTTTTGTACGTTTTTTCCGTTTTTGGCCCTCACCATGTGCTTAAATACTGTGAATTGGTTGCCAACGTCTACAAACCAGGAGATTTGAGATGAAAACCTAGCTTTCCAATGTCTTTTGAAAAATGGGCTCCATGGGGTCTGCATTCTAAGTGGTCACAATTGGCTGGACTGTGCTCTGGAACATCCCTATAGTACCATAACAAGGCTACCCCATTCATGCACATTCCTTGCGTACCTCCTGCAGTGTTTTGATTTTGTTACCCTTGGTGCTATTTCATCACACATTTTTTTTTTGCAGGTTGAAACCCCCCCATACCACCCCCATAGAAATCAGTTCTGGAGGTAGCCACAAGGTGAGTGCTATCCACTGGTTTTTGTTATGGAGTATACTAGTTATTGGCTTAGAGGCAGTGTGGCATTGTGGTGAAGAACATGGCTTACCAGCTCTCAGAGCCAGATTATCCCAGGTTAAACCCTGCCATGATTGCTAACTACCTGTGAGACATCAGGCAAGTTATTTCAGTTTCCTTATCTGCAAAGTGAACATAATAATACCTACCTCATGGGGTTGCTGTGGGGATTCAATGGGGATTAATTCACATAAGAGCTTAGACAGTCGCTGGCCTATGCCAAGTTCTATGTTAGTGTCAGCTGCTATTATTATAACTCAGTTCAACACTGATCTGGGCAGTATGTATTTTCATAGGTTCCCAGGAGTCAGGCCAAGACCTCGTTCCCCTGGAACACCGTCCTTTGAACTTAGCTCATGAGCACAAAGCCTTGAACTCTACTTGGTAGTATCTTAAATTCTGAGGTCCTCTCCCAGCCGGGTTGATAACTGATAACAGTAGTAATAATAGGGTTAGTAAATGGTTTGCATTTTTTGTGTACTGACGAAGGAGCAGACACCATGCTATATATGCAGGTCATCTAATTAACCTTCACAATAGCTTTATTCAATGGGTACTGCTATAATCCCCATTTTACAGATGAAGAAACTGAGGTTTAGCACTTGGCTGAGAGTCTCACAGTAAGTGGCAGAGGGGGAAGCTGTGCCCAGGAAACCTGTTGCCAAACCTGCATTATAATACCTATAATACCTTTAACCCCACACTCCACAGCCCCATGCTCACATGCAAGCACACGATGCCTTCCTTAAAGAATAAAGTTGGGTGTGTTCATATCTGTTTTCTCACCATCTTCTTCATAGGCCAACATCGTCCATTTTCCATCTTGTAGGCAAGACACCTTGAGCTTCCTTTGATGTTCTAGTGTCCTTTTCTCCTCTCTGTGGTCAAAGCCATCTATTTTTTCCTTTGCGACACTTTCTGCCTTTGCATCTGCCCCTCCGTCCAGCTGCCCCGATTGCTCCTGGGTCTGGCTTGTCTGATAGGAAGTTGACCTCCTGTGACAATTTACTACCCTCTCGGCTGCCCAGGTTGGCTTGGCCGATCTGGCAGGCTCAGGATGTCCCCTCCGTCTCTCGCCCACCAGGTGAGCCTTTCCTGAGACCAAGCCAAAGGGGCCGACCTTCTCAGCTTGAGGGAAATGGTGCACGGCTCACTGAGCTGCTCTGGCAGAAGAGCGAAAGGATGTCTCAGAATCCTTATCTGCCTTGCCAGGAATGACATAGACTGCGATGGATCTGGGCTTGTCATTTCCGGGCCTTGGTCATCCATCACACAACCTTGCCCTTTGTCAGGCCTCTGATAGGAAGTGTCAGTGATTCTAGCAGATTCAGCCCATCTCAGCTGGCTCGAGAAATCAGGATAAATTTGTCCAAATCCGGAGAGAAATAGCAACAGCAGCCATCTCTTTATGGGATGAGAGCTCGTTGGCAATACCGAAAATATATGGTCGCCCTTCTGCCCTTACGCTAAGAACAGGTAGGCCAGTTGAGTCAAAATCATGAAATCATTTAGCAGATCAGATGGTAAGGCCATCCGAGCAAGCAATAGCCCTAATATCCCATTGATTCCCTCACGTTTCCCTCTGTCTAACAAAGAGGTGAAACTGTGTGACTGGTTTTAGCTAATAAACTGTGAGCCTAAGGGACATTTGTTACTCCAGGACTGAGGCAGTGCAAATCCATGTGGGATTCTCCGGTCCTCTCTCCTCTTCCAGAGATTGGAAAACTATGTCCCCTGGGCCAGATACCTGTTTTTGTAAATAAAGGTCTATTGAACACAGCCATACTCATTCATTTGCTTGCATATTGTATATGGCCACATTTGTGCTAAAATGGCAGAGTTAAGTGGTCACGTGAGATGGTGATGGAGACCGACGATATTTACTGTTTGGCCCTTTGTAGAAAAAGTTTGTTGATCCCTGTTCTAGACAGAGCAGCTAGAGGACAGCGGGGCTTCGGATAGCCTGGGCCTTGAGTGACTGGGTAGAAGAGAGACCCTCCACAAAGCACCATGGCTTGTGTACCCGCAGTGGCGTAAAAATGAAAACTCTTTGGTTTGGGATTGTTTGCTCCTGGAACATAACCTAACCTGTCCTCACAGATTGCGATGGGCATTCGGGAGAAGGCATTCTACATCGGGAGGGATTCAAAAAGCCTACTTACTTCCTTGTGAAGTGAACTGCACAAGAAATACCGATGATGAGAAGGCCAATAATGATGGAGGCAATGGCCACCCACTTGGCATTCCTCCCGAGCCGCTTGGATCCTTCGATGTCTCCATCGTTGTAGCTGTTCAGAGACTGGGGGACACAAAGGAAGAGCTGGTGATGACAGACAACCCACAGGGAAAGACATGCGCTCCTCAGGCTGATCTGAGCAGGCAACATTGTTACCACCTCCTCCAGGAAGCCTTCCCTGGACTCCTGGGCTAACTTCCTTCCCCTTCTGGATTTCCCGATTACCTTCGTCTTAGTATTTACCCTAGCACATTAAAAGGTTTGCTTTGGCCTCTCCCATTAGAGTGTAAGTGCTACGTGGGACCATTTATCTTTTGTTCCATAAGGTATACCAGTGCCCAGTGCCGTATTTGTCATGCAGAAGACGCTTGACAAATATTTGTATAATGAACAGGTATGCACGTCTCATCCAGGAGAATGGGCTTTGCAAACCCTGGTCCATGGGCCAAATCCAGCCTGCTGTTTTTATAAATGAACTTGGTTTGGAACACAGCCACACTCAGCTGTTTACGATTGTCTGTGGCTGCTTTTATGCTACAACAGAGTTGTGTAGCTAGATCAGAGGCCATATGGCCCTCAAGGCCTGGTCCATTACAGAAGAAGTTCACCTCTCCTGCACTAGATGTTCAGTCCACAAGGTCAGGGACCTTGGCTGAACTGTTTACCCTCTATCCCCGAACCAAGCTGTCATTCAATGGGTACCTACTCTATATGGCTTTCCCAGCTGGGAAAACACCGGTCTACTTCTGTACTAGCTGGTGAAGAGCAGCGACCCCTCCCCAATATCCCGGCCATCTGGCCACCCCACCTCTGAATCCCTGCAGACTTCCCCATGATCCAGCTACTTAAGGGTTACCACTTGGCCCAGCAGAACATCCTTCCTGATTGAATATTTTGTTGAATATTTGAATACTTGTTGAATATTTTAAAATATTGCCTTTGTTGCTTGTACTTTGAGCAGTGTCTGGTACATTGGAGGAACTCAAGAAATAGGTATTGGCTAAGTGGGTGAATGAATATATCCATTTCCCTACAGGATGTGAGTCTGGGGGCAAAGTGGAGGTGCTCAGAGAATGTTTGCTGCTGAGCAGATGGCCAGGACAGCTGAACAATCTTATAATAAGCCCTCTTTATCATAACTCCCATTGCTGAGGCTCCCCCCAAAGTTCTACTGCTGCTGAAAGAAGACTGGAAATACGTATTCATGAGTTACGGACAGAGGTTGATCAGTGCGGGTGAATTTTAGATTTCAGTGGGAACCTCCATTCTTGATCCTGAAATCACAGCATGTCGGTAATAATTACTCCTCTTCCTGGACTATTAAGGGGGATTAAGCACATGCAGACAATTACAAGCCAGGGAAACGCCCAGTATACCACTGAGCTTTCCACTTCCAGAACCTTCCGTTAATTCTTGGGTTCTGGCCACCTTCACAGCAAGCTGGGGGCCTTGGCAGTGAAGGGGGCTTGTGTGCAGGTGTCTGGTGCGAATGGGATGGCAGGGACCTGCAGTGACGTCCAGAACTTCTAGCAGGAAGAGTTCCAGAATTCTGGAGTGCGTGCTCAACCCTGAGTATTTATTAGAAACACCGGGCTAGTGTTTGTTTGTTTTAAATACAGATAGTTGTCCTGGAGAGATTCTGATTTAACTGGTGTGGGGACCAGATACCAGTTTTCTAAAAAAAAATTGTGGTAAAATATACATAAAATTTACGATTTTTACTATTTTTAAGTGACTAGTTCAGTGACATTAAGTGGCACTCATTGCTGTTCAGCCATCCCCACCATCTGTTGTCCCAAAGTGAAACTCTGTTCCCATTAAACCCTAAGTCCCCATTCTTCCATCTCCCAGCCCCTGGCAACTGTCATTCTGTTTTCTGTCTTTACGGACTGCACCACTCTAAGTACCTCATATAAGTGGAATCATACAATTCTTGTTCTTTTGTGTCTCACTTATTTCATTTAGCAGTGTCCTCAAGGTTCATCACTGTTGTGGCATGGGGCAGGATCTCCTTCCTTTTTAAGGCTGAATAATATTCCACTGTATGTGTAATATCACAGTTGGTTTATGCATTCATCCATTGAGGGACACTTGGGTGGTTGCCATGGTATTTTTTTTTCTAAGCTTCTTAGGATTGAAAACCTTAGGTCTAGACAGCTATCTATAATGCCCTGCCCAGTCAAGGTGCACTTCCGAGGAAGTGCGTAACAGAGCATGGGCTCTAAGCTCAGAGAGCTGAGTTCAAATTCCATGTGTTAGCCGCTATGAGAATGAGAGCAAGTTATCAAGCTTTCTGAGCGTTGGTGTCCTTATCTGTAAACTGGGGGCAATAGTAACAGCACCTCCTTCCAGTGGAGGAGCCAACGAGTTAATGCATGCAAAGTGGTTAGCATGGCCCCAGCACATAGCATATGCGCCATAAATGTTAGCTTTTATTGTGAATTGCCACCATCTGTCTGTTCTTCCTCCAACACTGAGGTCTTTGGGGTGCAGGAGACTCATCTGGGCTACTTATCAGAATCATAGATGATCAGGCTCTGCCCTTCGCTGGAGCAGCATCATTGAGGACCCAAGTTTGTTTTAGAGTCTTCATGATCAAAGTCACTACGTAGACCCCCAAATTCTGAGCTCACAGTCCAGCTTATATCTTTTTTAAATCTTATATTTTTCACAATCCAGTTTAAAATTATGTAAACTCAGATGCTCCTAAAGTGATCATTATCCTATTGTGCTGCTTTGGAAAACGCAGTTCTGAGATGCACTTTGTCATGGCAATGCACTCGTGTTGCTATAACCAGAGGAAAAATAACGAGACCCCTCCCACCCCCAAATATTGTCAACTCCTGGCTGTTTGGATGAAAAAACCAGTTTCATGTTCTCAAGTGGGAAGAATAGTAAGTCTGTGCCATACCGAGGGGTACGTCTCTATCTGTGCCATGAGCACAGGTGAGGGGGGTGCTTCTTGAGCTGCTTGTTTACTGCAGGTTCGCAGAGCCATACTGGTGACCTGGCCAAGAGGGATTTGGGTGCGAGCCATCAGTGAGTCTTGCTCACCCTTCATCACTTGCTGCCGGTCTGGCATCTTGTATGTGACCCTTCTCTCTGCAAACCACCCTCTCGCTGGGGCTCCTAAAGGAGATGCTGAGTCGTCCAGGAATGAGGCCATGGTTGGCTTGAAACGCAGATGAAAGCCTCTTTCAGTATCCACTGTGGACTCTCCTCCCCCCATGAGTTCTCTTATGAATCCATTTCCTCCTGTGGTCCTTAAAGAAGGGGCTGCCCAGGGGCAAATCTGCTGGGGAAATGTAAGGATATGGAGAGATGAGGGTGGGGGACTTTAGAACTCCCATATTTCACTCTGAAGGACTTCACTGGTTGAGGAATCTCCGGGTTTGGGGTGGAGATCTAACAAGCAAGAAGGAATTAACGCTCCCCTCCCCCGTTCATTGGCTGTCATTCTTTTCCCTTCCCAATTGGAATTGCGTGCTAAGGATCTCCTGGCAGATGCTATAGACTGAAGTGGTGGAAATGGGTTGTAGAGAAAACGCATGGCTTATAAATCTTTTTCTGAAGAGCTTAGAAAGCAAACTATCCTATCTGCTGTACGAGAACTAGAAAGAAACAGGGGATGGCTTAGATATTTAACATTTGTATGATCTTATTAGTTCTTTTACATGTTACAGATGTAATTTGTGAACACGTAAAGCATGCGAATGCTACAGAAGCATCCAGTAAATAGTGAGCTCTTCTCATCTTATTTCCAAGAGATAACCATTGTTCGCAGTTTGGTACATTTGCTTCTAGATTCCCCCCACCCCCCAGGAATAATATGAAAGGAAAACTGACACTTTCTTGCTTCCATTATGGCTAAGCACATCATGTATCTCAGTCAAGATAAAGAAACAGCAATTTGCACCCTGAGATAACCCAAGAATACAGAGTCAGTCTGTTGAGCCCACATCCCTCCAATATTAAAACCTCGAGTATTTCCCATCAGTCTTGGCAAAGACAGCTTCATCTCTGCCTTGTGCAACGTCGGTGCCCAAACGTAGGTCACCTCCTTTGTGGATATTGTAATCTCTTGAGAAAGATCCTGTTTTGCTTTGTTAAGTTTTTTAATCACGAACAGACTACTGTATAACTTGGTAACCTTGGCAATTTTACATTGGTTTCCTTTAAATACTTGTGCTTTTATTCATCTAGCTGGTCCTTTTGAAGTTGGACTTCTTTGCATTTCTTTCCAAGTGAAATTTTTTCTAAATGTTTTGGTCTCTGAGTCTTTCTTTGACAAAATTAATAGCAGGTAACATTTATTGAGTATTTATATGTGCCAGGCACTGTGTTAAAGATTATGTCAGTAGTCCTCATAACAAGCCTGTGAGGTAGAGTTTCCATATTACTCGTGGGAAAATTGAGGTGCAGTGAAGTTAAAGTGATTTGCCTAGAGTCACATAGCTAGTTTGGTAAAGTGTGTATGCATGTATACGAATGTTTATTGGTTAAATGTAGTTCTTCTTGATATACTTATTTCCTTTGTTCAGTTTTCTATTTGTCTTTTTCTTATTGATTTGTGGGAACTTTTTATATATTGTAGATCAGCATTGTACAGTAGAAATATAATGGGAGGCATGTATGTGATTTTAAATTTTCTAGTTGCCCCATTAAAAAATAAAAATAAATAGGTGAAAATAATTTTAATATTGTATTTAAAAGTGTATGTGCACAAACACACTCAGAGTTTTTTGTTTGTTTTCTGTTTATTCCAAAGTTATGAATAGTATTATATCTGTTCTGCAACTTGCGTTTTTCCACTATTATAGGGGGTGTGCCTTTTCAAGCTAGTGCTTCTAGGTCTATCTCTTTCTTGTTTTTTTTTTTTTTTTTTCCTCCAGGCATGATTTAAAATAACAAGTTATATTGATAGAGTTCCTAATTCTTGCCTCCTTGGGGGAAAATCTTAAATTGTCATGGTGCTTGTTGTTACTGTTTTTAGGTAACTTTTTGTTTTCAAATAGCTTCAAACTTGCAGAAAGGTTGTGAGTATAGTTGTCTCCTTTTTAATG